CTTCTAATAGTGCTGTAATTCTTGGGTTCCATGGTGGATTTAATGTAAATTAGTTTCATATTAATATTTTTATATATTAATATAGAGGTAATCCTATATTTATCACATTATGATTTATATTCCTCACATTCTGGTATGATAAAGGGAAGATTAAAATTAACAAGTCTATAAATTATGTCTGAGCCACAGTTGTGCCACTAAAGCAATCTCTTTCCAAATGTCACATTGATTTTTTAGTCATTATTTATGTCACATGACAGAATGTTCACTTTGTCTGGTTTTGTTGCAGTCTGCCCCATATAATGTCCATATAATACTTTCCCTATGGGCTTGTTATTTACGCCCCCTGCCAAATGTCCTAAATATAAAATACGTATGACAATTCTTTTCTTTGTATTTTATTGTTATCTATTGGTAGGTAATATCGATAAATTAGTGATTTATAACAATTTCTACATATAAGAACATATGTATGTATATGTAAATGTATTATCTCATCAGATGGCAATGGGTGATTTTTTTCTAAAAATACATCGTATATGCGCTCTAATTTGACCGTAATCAATAGAACGCATAATTATAATATCATCAATTAATACTTCTAACGATTATTTATGTTCACATCTTCATATGTCTATGTTATCCTAGGTGTAGCACAAATCAACATTAGACTAAGGGCCTTATCAAATTTGGAATTATTGCCTTAAATAGGCAGGGGCATCAGGGAATTACCCTACTGTGAGGGGCATTGACTGTATTGGAAATTGTTTATTTTTCACATGAAGTTTTGCGTTCTTTTATTGTCTACACCTTTATTTTTCACATGAACCACACGAATTTTTACTGTCATCAAAGCTGTTGAGAAGGCTGCGATATACTGTGATTACAAATAACAGTCGTGCCGAGCCGCTTTTCTATCAACAATTGCTTTGCACATTGCCTTGCCTCTTGTAATCCTTTTTGGGGCGACGGTACGATTGGAGGCGTGGATTTTGCTCTTTGCATAATTCCTGTACACGTTTTGCGACCAGTGATTTAGCTGTCGTTTGTTTTCGTAGACCAGGGATTATAGGAATGTGTCAAATCATCAGATCGAATCCAAGACGTATAGAAGTTCACTAATACGTCGTTTGTTATAACAAGTAGACCATTCTCCATTTCAAATCTTCACTAAATGGACGACCCACACCTATATGACAACATTTATTGGGATAACAATACTTGTAATCATTTTGTAATCGCCTGTAATCACATAATAATCGCCTGTAATCGTTCTGTAATCGCTTTGTAATCGCTTTGTAATCAGCCTTGTAATCTCGTACTTTCTTTCCCTTTACGTAGGAAGCTGTAACTTGGCAGTCAGGTTTCCGTAAGCCAGATAACGGTTGTGCTTTCTTAGCTGGAAGAGTTGACTTTGACTGCACCTCTATAATCTTCTGAAACATAGTATCTTCGTTTTTTTTTTGGTCCCGTATATCGATTATTGTTATTATTATGCCAACTTCATTAGGTCACACAACATGTTATTGATCACACCACACACTGTCAACCAATAGTCAAGCATACACGGGTATCGATATATTGCCTAGTGTAACACATTACATATGATCGGAATGAATTTTAACTATTTTAAGAAGCGTAGTCATCGTAACAATTATGTATTGTCTATTAATAAAATTTCACATCGAGGTTACACTATCGCTTTTAACCATTACCGTATAATGGCAGAATTTCGACCACATAGAGATTACACTATGTTGTGGCTTCGATCACACCACATTGAGATTACTATCGCTTCTTATGTTGTGGCTTCGATCACACCACATCGAGATTACACTATCGCTTCTTATGTTGTGGCTTCGATCACACCACATCGAGATTACCCTATCGCTTCTTATTATTAACGTAGTTATGGCGTCGATCACACCACATCGAGATACACTATTGTTACTTTTTTATTATTAAACGATTACCATAACACCACATCGAGATTACAGATCGCTGCTTGCATAATTTGATCATAAATATTATACACCAATATATAGGTAATATAGATATCGTAGATTTAAACTGTTTTTTATTTTCAAAAAGTATGTCAAGAAAGAAAGTGGGCGTATACATAACGAATTTGTCAGGTGAGTATCCAAAGCATACACTGCTCCGCATAAAAAATACGTATAAAATAAACCTCATTCCACCTCAAATGAAATTATGAGGAATCTACTACTACTTTGCATCTGTCGAAATGAAATGGATAGAATAGAGGAATGAGATTGACCCCCAACTTTACTGTATGAAGCTAACCATTTGGAGCGAAAATCAGCTTAATACGGACTAGCACAAAAAAAGACCAATTGTTGACAAAATGAGATCAGCTGACATACGAAAACATGGAAGCAAAAATATAATAATGTTAACATTTAAATATTATTTTAAGAAAAGGGCTAAATAAAACAACCAGGATAACTCCTCACTGTTCAAAAAATTATATATAATTATATATAACAGAAGCAACGGCCGATGGCTGAGTGCTCTCATAAAAAACGAGACACTTTTGCCATTTATCGTATATTGTGCCCGCGCTCAAACAGCCGCTGGCTATACGAGGCGTTGCTCGCACGTAAGCTGAAACAAGACACAATTAGGAAATATTAGAACAACATGGTGATAGAATTGGAGAAGAAAAGTAGCGTTGGAGCGAAGGCAATATTCGGAGGAATACGTCTAATGTTTACAAATATAAACGCTATATGGACAATTCATACGTTTATGTTGCAGGAAAAAATTTTATGCGGTATACAAAATTATATACACCAACATTTGTATATATTACATTAAACTAATACAAATCAATAATATTGCGTACATTTATCATTTACATAAATACTCAAAGGATAAGTGACAACTAAAAAATTTTATTAATTGGCGATCGGTTTCTCTACCACACAATCTGCAACAAAACACATTCACCAATATATTTGACCGAATAAAGAGCTGCTGAAGTACGAGTCGTCTTTAAGTGAGCAACACAATGACCACTTTAACACCGCTCTTCAAACTATCAATCGAGATAATTTATTGTATATTCGATTATTTGACAAGCACTGAACAATTGGAATTTGCTTTATCACGTTCAAGTATATACCGCGTGTTTAGAATTTATTATTTGGGTTTTTATTCACCGAAGTGGGAAGAAGTTCAATGGACGACAGATTTAAATAAAAAGAATTGGTCCACCGGAGAGACTATTTCAATAACCACAACCACAAAAATTACGACTCAACAACAACACCGTACTCCGAACTACTCGCCACTACAACCACCTCTCTCTCCTCCACCACAAACCTACCGCACTACAGTTCTTCTAGGCAACAAGCTCTATATTCCGTTTTTATCTCCAAACTTGCCATATTGTTACGTTCTATGTCTTTCCGGTTCAACTTCACAGTGGATTCCGTGTCCGCTTTCTATACACCCAGCCTCCGACTTACTCTATATACCACTTTTAAATACTGCTGCAACAGTTTCAAATAAGAAGATATACTTGTTTGGTGGAGAAACTTATAGCGGGAATGTCAGCAACATATTATATGAAATAAACGTTGAAAAAATGGAGATTAAAGTTGTTGAAGCAGAAGGAATAATTCCGGGAGGAAGGTGCATGCACACTATCAAAGCCGTAGCCGAGAAGTGGCTGGCAGTTTTTGGGGGTCGACGTATAGCATATGAGAATAATGGGGATGATGGTAAGTATTAGTATATAGATTAAGCACACGTCAAACGTAGTACAAAAAGCCCAAAAAGCCGGCGCGGTTGAGAAAAGATAAGTTTGTTGCAAACTCGGCTCCTCAGATATATAGTAAACACTGGTGAGTAGGGCTACATTTCAGCTTAAGTATACTTTATTATTGCGGTATACTAACGTGTGTATGTCAAATTTATGTTACCAGCTTTTTTCATACCCTTTCTATAGCTATACCTGTACTTTCCGTTAGCCTTCTCAACGCCTTTATTTCTCCTCTTTTACTATTTCGCACATTTTAGAACCGATATATTACGACACGAAAGATCTCTATCTATTCTACATCCCATATGCAACATGGATTTTTCCTACAACATTGTATTCGACGCCATATCCACGATCGTATCCCGCCTGTGCTGCTGTCGATTCAGCATTATACATATACGGCGGACAGCAATTAATATTTACGACTGGATCTAGACGGTATGGACCATAGTGATGGGCATAAATAAAGAGGGGAAGCCGTATCATATGGGTTAGCTGATCGATCAAAAACTAGTGTAATACTAATTTTGTTGTTATTTTGATTACAATTATAAGAGAAGGCGACGACCACAAAGAATTGAATGCATCTTTTAGCAAGGTTGAAAGCGCCGCCTGTGAAAGTAGAAGATACTTAAAAGATAGCGTACACGATGATGAGAATTTATGGTGTTTTCGAATTCATGATTTCCGGCCAGATTTATCTTCCTCTGTCATGTTCAAAACTTCCCAAAAGTTAGGAACATTGCATTCGGGCACTATAAACGATGCAACCGCGACGACAAGCATAAATTCAAATTTTCCGGCTTCGGAACAACCTTCTCGTGCTCATTCATCCGTCCCCTTTTGGGAAAAACACATATCGCCGCGTGCAAATAGCTTTTTTTCCGGAAGGCGACAAGAGTGGGTTATGACGAGGGGAGAATCTGTGGGAAGATGTTGTGGCGCAGCAATGGTAGGAACGGCAAAGAAGTTAATTCTCTTTGGTGGATGGGATAAAGATCGATGGAACTTAGAGGAGAATACGTACGAGGCCAAAAAGAAATGTGACAGTTTTATAAGTGGGTCAGAATTTGCAAATCGATCAAGTGATTCAAAAGAGATTAACAATGGTAGCTTGGAAAATACTGGATCACTCAATACTTCCCGCAACATGCAATCACGTGAACTATCTCAATCATCTCACCAAGCGTTGCAATATTCCCGGATGAATCAATCCCTGTATTTTACGCAGCATCAATCACAGTCTCAACCTACATCTCATTTATGCTTGCCTTTATTCAACGATTCTTCCCCAAAAGGTACGTATAACACAACCAGACCTTGGGAATTTCTCAGAATTTACCTATTGGAGAGGAATTACTGGATACATTTACGTGTCAAGGGCTTGCCCGAAATGGAATGTGTGGCGTTTCTATCTGACAATTCTACTCATTCGAATGGTTTGTTCGTTGTAGGCCGAACGAGGGATGCAAGCAATCGTATTATTATGGGATGGATTAAGGATGAATGATTTAAGTATATTACTGTGAAGGCGAATTCGATAACTTGTTTAAAGTTGTCAATAGGTCCCCGGATGACGAAAGAACCTCAAATGTATGGCTGAAATAGCACTCAAAAATATGTCGAAGTTGGCATTTCTATGATTTGTCGATTTATTCCTAATTTGTTCACTGTGAGCAGACAGTCATCAGTACTATTGGAAATTTATGTCAAGCTGTATTATTATTCTTTTATTACTGACATCATACGAGTTGTACTTTGAATATTAATAAGCATAGTTTATACACAATTCACTATTCGCCCTAATGAGAGTTCCTATTAACAAACAAGCCTTCTGACAATGAATTATAAATTAAGAAACTCGCAGCGTACATATTCCGACAAATACTTCGCCATTGACCTTTCAAGTATAATCAATCATACGACATACCGATCAGCGGTATACATTCTTATCATGTTATCCGTGGCGTTTACTACTATTAATAAAGTTTATCAACTAAATGATAATCTCCTCGTACAATGGTATAATAGGGAATAATTTTTGATTCAATGGTAGATTCATTTAGGCATCGAATACTTCCAATGTTTATAAAGAGACTTCTCAATTCTATCCTCATAGAAGGCGTCAAGGCATCAAGCGACAAGAATTCATACGTAAAATTGTGATTTGCCGGGTCGATCACTCTGTGAACACAAACAGAGCAATTGAAAAACGATACAAAACTGGGCGTTGACAGGAAAACATCTTACAGAGGTAGCAATTGTTTGGGTATGGTATAGTCGGCGTAGAGTAGATCAATAAACGAGAGTACAAAGAACAGAGATTTTGAAAAGCTAAAGGTGGGTGATCGAAAGTATTTCACTTTCTTCTCGCACCCATTTCTTTTTTTTTTTTTTTCCTAACAACTCGACCATATTAGATTTTGTTTGTGTTGTTACACAGCAATGTGCTGAATACATCAGTAAAATTTTTTTCGAAGCATGCAAGTTCGAAGATAAATCAATGTATGCATGCTGCATAAAAGACAATGATTGGAAATATGCCTTTGATTCAATTGTATAATATTGTAATCAAACGTTCCTTAGTATTAATAGCTTGTCATGTAAATTGTTATATTTACTTGTAGTTAACAAAATAGTATGCTTATAGCATGTTTTGTTCATTTGAGTTGCCATCTACATTCAATAATAGTGATTAGAATACAGTTTCTATGAACACTGATAGTCACGGGTTTGCACAGCCTTATTTTTGTTTATTGCACTAACATAACATGTACTACATAGTTAAGAAACAAAACCGAGACGAAAATTTCTTTGCGGCGCAAATGTAATTAGCATTAAAGTCTATTCACTATCACAAGCTTACTCCAACTTAGAATCTGAATAAACTTGGATTCTGAATAAACTTGGATTCTACATGTAACAAATATCGACAGTATGAGTGTTGGGAAGATAAAGACAAATAATGTCTCCGTTGGTATATTAAGATTAGGAATTACACCAAAATACAATAAATGTGTATATTAGCGGTCATTAAACCTATGTAATCCTTGTTAAACTCTGACTGTTTACTTGACGAGTAAAATTATAACGTGAACTTGAGAAATAGCTTATCAGTATTTATGAGTGCATTTGTGAAAAGATTATTTTATAGCTTGTAGAGAAATCACCTTGAAGAGCAACTTTTTATTGTAACAACATTCTAGTGCTATACTGTCTTGTATGGGGGTGTTTGTCATTCTATTAAAATATTTTTATAACAACATTGTGAGAACAATATGCAATTTTCTCATTTACATAAATTTGACTAAATATTAATGGTTATAATAAAAATTTACCAAATAAAAGTTTAGTAGCATGTTTTAACATACTATTACTATTTCGCGTTTTTTAAACTATACTATACAATTAAACTGTCTCTTGTTCTATATCCATTTAGGCTTTTACTAGCCCATGAGTAGCAGAAACATATACATGTATCCCTAAATTATATTAACTTGTGGAAATTCAAAGTTGCATTTTACATAAACCAAAAGACATTTGCTTTGCAGGGCTTAAGAACCATTCAAAGTACTCAGATTCAAGACACCTAACATTGAGAAAGGGAAATCTTTTCCAAGAAAAAAAAACCTATAGTAACAACCTAACTGGGTACTAACTGCTATTGCTTAGAAAATTTTCACACATTTACAGAACAAGTTAAACTCAATAGTTATATGCACGCGTGTATTACGTGGGGTTCAAAAAGGGTTGACATAATAATAAGACGTATAAAAATTTTATTTATACAATAGATATTAATTCAACTATTACAACAATTCAGCCTTTTACGCCAACTCTGAAAGCACTCAGAATACCCTTCTTGCAGTACAATATGCTATTGGTTATTAATTTTATAGTATAGGAGCTCTTGAATCTTCTCAAACACGTTCCACTGAGCCTTTTTTTGAATTTTGCAAATAGAAAATAATTGCACGGAGCCAGATTAGGACTATAAGAATGGTAGGGAAGCAATATGACTCGTTCTTCCCAAGGGTACTTGGTGATGACTTTTGACTAGATAGGCATGACTTTCTGAATATTTTCAATGCTAATATGGGGTTTAAGATTTTCAATAATATTAATGTTCGAAAGCGTAATGGTCTTCCCAAAATGGAGGATGCATCCTCATGCTTGATTGTCCGACTTCGAATACTACATTTGAATAGTGCTTTATTCCCTTCAACCGTGACTAGCTCTTTGTGATTGTCATCGGCCCCTTACCATTCCGCTTGCATACCCAAGATATCATTTTTGGTTTTCGCGAGTAAAATTTTCCATCGTTGTTAATAGACAAGTTTTAAACAAAAAATTTTTTCTCGATAACCATCAAACTAAATTGAGTCCAACTTTTATCATTAATTGAGTGTGACTCAAGCTTTAATATAGTTATTTTACCCAAGCGAAGGTAATCAGAGGTTGCTGAGATAATTGCACTGTCAAAACTGCTGTAAAACCGGTCTCCAACGTCTTTCTTTTTTTTCATAGACAAAACAATATTGTGTACTTTTATCGAGGGATCTTTCCATATTCACTATGGATTGCTTTAGCTCGCTTATATTATTGAGCATTCTTTTTATCCACGTTATTTATCATAATAAACCACATGTTTCTAATGGATTAATATCTGGACTGTTGAATGACCATTCAGTTGCAATTTTTCTATTTGCAATAAACCTAGACGCGTACTTTTAGACGCCAGTTTCTACCATATAATTTCTAACAGATAGCAAAGGCAGGATTTACAGTGTTTTTGCATAGTAAAGTCCATCCATTATGTCAGTAAAACAAAATAATTATAATGGTGTTTGCCCTTTAGAGAGTTTTTTTTACGCTCGATAGAATCGCATTGTTTAAGCTACGAATATTATTTTCGACTGTATGCAGAGAAATATTAGCCTTTTTATGTATTTGGCTGAATGATATTATTATAACGAAGGTAGAAAATAATTTGCATTGGTTTCAAATTTTGATTGAATTCTACAAAGGCAAACTTTTAATATTAGATTATAAAACTGGCAGTAATTATAATTACAAAAAAGTTTGTTGAAAAAAAAAAGTAAATAACATATTTTTAATAAAATATAAAGCAGTCATATAATTGTGCCAATCTATTATAAGTCACAAATATTGATTTGCAAATCATAATTTTTTTTGCAACACGTTGTAAGTAAATCAACTTGTATAATAAATTAATTGTAAATCAGCATACATGCTAAAGTAAATATATACCTTGATATGATAAATAAATTGTTTGATATACTGTACATATGCAACGGCACGTTTATAAATCAGTATTAGTATTCAGAGAGTATTATCACTAAATGACAATTTGTCTTGTAATTTCTTGAAATTCACGTGTACGGCTGGTGGATCCAATTCTAACTTATAAAATGGTTTGGAACTAAAGAATCCAAGCAAAAGAATTTACTCACTAAAGCGTAGAAAGTAAATACAGCGTAAAAAATTTTGTGATTTAGCAGTGAAGTCCGGTTAACAAAGGTCGGCATGGCCTTTTAAGAACTCTTTCTGGAACGAGTCCATTATATACAAAAAAACTATTAAAAATCTGTATAACGACATAACGAATCTGATAAGAAAAAAAACATCCAGTTGTGCGAATTTTCCAATTTGGCATAAAATGCGTGGTACATAATAATAACGAAATTTGGCACAATAATACTATCTCGGGAGAACAGTATACAATAGATCAGTTCAATGAAATGTCAGTCAATGCAATCGACTGTGAGGAACCATAGAATTCTTCTACAGCAAGATTTAGATATTAATATAGATACTTATATAATCAGCTGAGACGGTTGCATAAACGAATTGTTGACAAAGCATGTCAAATACCAACAAAGTCTTCTGCTGCCTATAAAGAGTATTAATTTAATTAACATAATTGCAAAAATCCAGATACTGTATATTAATATGGCAACATAGACGGCTCTTTTTTTCAATTATATAATCAGGTTACTTTCTATTACCCGAATAAAAAGAAGTAAACACTTTGAAAATGGCACAAACCTCCCTATTAAAAACGCGATAAAATCGTAAAGCTCTTTGGAAGAAAATATTTACAATGCACAACATCAAACACAGAATGGAATTGCTTCTCAAAATGGTGCTTTAGTTTCCCCAACCTCTTAACATTATGTTCCGTGATAAAAGTTTTCTTAACAGAATTAATAACGCGTGAAATATGAATGTTCTTCCACATCCTATCCCAGCAAAGCCACCAGAATTTCATAGTCGCATGCATATGAATTTTTTCTTACGGTACAGTTAGAACATAAATACGCCTTTATGAAGCAACTGTTCTAAAATGTCTTTTAACATTAGTTGCGCATAGACGCGTAAGGTAAAGTTTCCTCTTCAAACCGAAGTTTAGGCTGTACTCAAGTAGGAAGCATGAACGAAAAAAAGAAGGGGGGGGGGTAATTCTTGTTAAATATGGAGTCTAAGCACTAATCTAGGAACTTTACACACCGGGAATTGTATACTTAATTCGTTAGAATATTCAATACTGCTTCTCAGTATTAGTCTACCGTTATCCCTAATTATTTCCATCGTCTTTTCACGCTTCACAAATTCTTGAGTACTGATTCAAAAAAGCTAATCTGATTTTCCATTCCGCCAATAAGACGATGTTCGCTATGCTTTCCCTCAACTATGCAAATTGATCAATCTTTCTCACTGCGTAATCACGCCAGAGTTAGTGTACGCTGCATGAAGAATAGACAAAAGATGTCGTATGTTGGTTCGCGAAGCTCTACAACAGAATTACACAGGTGATGTCGAATGATGTTACAGGGATCGGAATGGGAATGGCCTTAAATACACAATGCACATACTTCATATTCGAGAATAAATCAAATTTTTCCGCGCACTTGGCTCAAATGTCATTTATAGGAGTTAAGGGAACGAGCATTGAGATAGTTATTTCTCAAGCACAATAATTTAATAAACGTTGGCGCACTGAAGATTATCAATTGATATATTAATAGCAGAAGTAATTTTTATTTGACTTATCCATGTTTCAAGAAAAGTCTGCATCAGATATAATTACAAGTTCGAACATTCTAATTAACATATTGAATTATCATCAAATGAGTAACAAATCAAGAACATTAATTAACATAACACGGAATATTACACATTAAATGACATTATATTCTCGTGAACATATAGTTTTACGGTATTCTCTGACGGCCATTCAAAATGTATGACGTTGTTCGACGCTGGAACTGACAAATGCACTAGGAAACACGACGTAAAAGGTACAATTAATATTAATTCATAATATGGCATCTAATCCAAGTCTTTCGATCGTTGTCTTGAAATTATATACAAACTTACCGTCATCACCAAGATTGAACCCAAATGCTTTGCGATCTCGGGATGCTCCCCCGAACACCCCAAGAAGGCTAGGAGATGGATTCCATACGCGAACCGTCTTCTCGTCTAGTGAACATGACACAATGCGTTTGCCATCTTCCGAAAAGGAGAGAGCTGTTACCGCTCTGGTGTGGCCCTGTAGCATACAAACGCGTGAGTGTTAAACCTATACTAATTGTTATTTTAAAACTTCAATAGTATTATTTTGTCGTCAGTTCATTACGTCATGTCTTAAATATTATATATCGTAACATTGTTTTCTCCCATTTTTCCCAGTCATCCAATAAATGGCATGATAGTAAATGCCAACATAGTTGACATCATTCATCACGCAATTCTTAATCCAATATAGTATATCGTCAAATCTCACCTCTAACACCTGGCACTGCGTTGCAGTTCTCAAATCATATACGACTGTGGCACCTTCCAACGTTCCAACAGCTAATTTCTGCGATGGACCATGGAAACTAATTGATGGAAAAGTCTTAACCAAATCATGCAATATGCCAGTACTCGTCTGCAACACAGTCTCTCTCATATTCGGTATATTCGGATCCAAAGACTTCACCACGGCCGCCACCACCTTCGGTAAACTGGAATACAACACATGAGGCATCTTTTTAATAAACAGTGACACTAATCTCAAATAGCCTTTCTTTTCCGCTGGCTTTTTGGTATTCATCGTATCACATATAAGCGTAGAAATAAAGAGTGGTGTGTTTATGGAAGCAACATGAAATATTGCCTGTCGCGCCATGGCCTTCACAGGTGCAACATTTGTGTCGGAATCAATTGCTAGAGAAAATAGGGTACGCAACACTGCTGCTGCTTTGAAATGTGTTGGTTGGTTGTCCAGAGTTAAGGATAATAGATTAAATCAGGAAATAGCCGGTTAAACGGTGATATTATGTACAAAGAAGAAAGGATATGAGATTGCCATGTTGCAAAGCCTCGTCCACAAAGATCCAATGCCGCTAGCCGGTTGGACGGTTTCGCTTCATCATTTAAGAGTATCGTAAGTGACAGTGATATGCTCTCTGCCACACTATAAATAGGACAGATTTGAGACTTAATAATTAAAATGACTGTCACTCTAATTATGACTTTCATAACGTGTTGAAGCACAATTGTACTTACTTCTCAGGTAAAGCCTTTGGGTTATCGACTCCAATCATGGCAAGTAATATGGTTGAACGCGCCATGTATTGATTGTTCGAAAAATCAGGCCCGGAAGCTACTGCAGGCACTTAACGAGGTAATTAAGTAAATAAACAGAAATAAAAAGCAAATAAGAAGACAAGAGAAAGGAGAAGATGAAGGCTATGGGTATTTAACAATAGTTATAAGATTGAATAGGGTCAGAAGGAAATAATAACAAATAACGACTAACTCACGAAACTGCTTCCAATAATCAATAACGGCCTGTTGCTGCTCACGTGGCATACTGTTTAAGGATGATGTGAACAATGTTCTAGCGGCGCTCTGCACATCAGCTACAGATAGAAGATAAAATACATTATAAACCAAACAAGACAAACTTCAAGAATTATTTGTCTTCTACAATTCCTTTACTTACGCACTGAGTCTTGAAAATATTTAGCCAAAAACGAAAGTGATGGGTAGCAAAATCCATCAATGCGGTGTGGAAGACGTGTCCCGTAGTGTGTTATTAAGTCATTTGAGTATTTCTCTAGGCCTAGAATAAGTTTGGCAGGAAAAAAAATATGAAGAGGTGACAGGTGAAGATGTGTTAGAGTGTGAAACGGACCAACATTGACCGAACAGCACAATTCCGAGTGTATTTTTTTAGGAAACCGAGATATATACCCTTCATTGAAAGAAAAGATCGTACGAGGCTTATTATGGAAAACAAACGTGTCGCTGTAATTATAGGTGATATTTTCCATTGCGCACGTCCATCGCCAGGAGATGGGGCGGCCACTGATAAGCATCCGTTTGCTCTATTAAAATTATTAGTCACTGTCAAAAACTAAGCGTAATATTCTGGTCTATATGTTCACTTTCTCTCGGATTTTCTCTTTTTCATATCTAACGAAAAAAACTTACCCCTTTAATCCTAGGCTAATCCCATTGCAACTACGCTTTAAACCCAACTTCTCAACACAAATTTTATCCATTTCGTCATCAACACCCCATGAAATCAAACAAGAGATCAAACTATCCACTAGTTTCGGCCCTAAAGCCCTGCTCTCAGTTTCGCTCGATAATGGTGATGCTGATGCTGATGAGGCACCTCCTGTTAATTGGTTAGAATGAATTGGTGTTGCCCAAGAAACAATTTTTGATTGGAGCATGGGGGATTTTTCGTTTAATTCTTCGGTTGAAGAGGATTTGAAAAGTGCGAAGGAACCGAACGAAGAGACATGGTAGTGGTATATGTCGTTTATTAGTTGTTTTATGTTTATGGTCAGAATATGAAGTGGAGTAGTGTCTTGAGTGCGAAGAACGTTGGTGAGGAAGATATTAGAATTTAAAAGTACATTCTGAACATAAGAATATCTACGTATATAAATAGACTTACCTGTCTCTTGGAAATGAATAGGTTGCGATGTGATGCTTGTTGATTTGCTACCTGTTCGCTTGGATATCTCATTTGATGGAATCACACTAATCAATTAAACACATGACAATACAGAATGAAGGCCAATGAATTAATATAATTCTCAGATATTTTGCTCAATATTCTTTCAGGAAAGGAAAATTACCAAACCTCATCTTCCACTGCCTCTCATTCATCATATCTCTGGCAGCCTTCCCACAAACAATCTTATCTAGAGTGCCCGAATGTATCTATTTCAATGATATAAACGTTAGTTCTGCAATAGTTGCTTTTCCCCTAGTTATATGCAGCTTCCTTTCAATTTCCCTTAGAGATAAATACACAACTCACCTGCCAACAGTGTGCCGATTCATCTTGGTAAAAAATCACTAACAAATCTCTACTTGGTCTCCATTGCAAGCCAGCTATTCCGTGCGTGTGCCCTTCGAATGCATATAAACAGCTCATTTCTTCCAGTGAAATAATTGACAACGAATTATCCCTTGCAATCGAAACAACACAACCACGGAGTCGTGTCCCTACATCACATGGTACGTCAATGAAAGTTGTGACAGGTTGACTGTGAGTAGCAAATTTTGCTAGACGCTTTCCGTTTCTTGTTTGGAAAGAAGAGATAATTAAAATAGGAATTTGTGTATATGTGTATATGTAATGTTACATGTCAGTCAATTATGAGGAAAGACTAAGTATTTAACAACTTACTCAAAGCTCCATATACGAACGGAAAAATCTTCTCCTCCGGTTAAGATATATTTCTTTCCAAAATTGGATGAACTTGGTGTGTATATACAGGTGATTCTACCATAATGACCCCTGAGTATTCGTATATCACTCAACTTATCTGCAGTCGAAAAGTCCTCTGATAGCACTTTGGAAAGCGGGTATATGTGAATCTCCCCATTATCTAAATTGACAAGAAATAATAATTAAATATATCTACACGATTCGTTCGTCTGACTGTCAATATGAAAAATGAGCATTACCGTAACCAAAAGCCATGTGTTCTTCATAAATCATAGCCGATACTGTAGCTTCTGCCATATTGTCTTCCTTCTTCAATGGCCATAGACTTGCCAAGTCCGATTCTTAACAGCAAAATATTTGTAAATGTGAGCAAGCGTTGATACTTGAATCATTACAACTCCCTTCTCACATACATACCAACATTCCATCTATTCATAGGTATTTCGTCACTCTCACTTTCTATGATTCTCATTTTTGGAGTGTTGGCGGAGAGTGATTTCCATGAGAAACGGGTGCTATCAGAATAGTTTCTGAACGTTAGAAGATACCACGGGGATCGATCGGTGGAGTTAGCTGCTGCAAGCACGATTGTTTGGGACGAATTGTATAACCGAACTGAATGTTGAGAAGTGATGGAATTGATACGTAATTTTCAGTTACATTGAGAAGAAATAAGCAGTATAACTTAATAATAATAGCAAACACATCTCAAGCATGCAGAAAGTTTAAATAGCGCACCATCGTTTTCGCAGCACACAATTTCTGTTAGTGTAGGCCTGTTTAAACATTGCCCAATGCAAAAATAATAAATCTTACAAGTCTCTTAATATAAAAAGAATTCCATCAGTCTTAAATTTTATATTCTTTCCAACCTTGAACGTCCTGCATGCGTTGTTCTTTCAGTGTTCGCATTTTCGTTAGCTGTAAGTGGTATTGACGATCTCCTAGATACACTGCGTCTATGACTAGTAGAACCATTGTCAACGGAGTATGCACGGTCCATTGGTGGAAGCATGTAGACATATGCATTGCCACGCTGACGTGAGAAGACATTGATGAATAAGACTTTATGCGATAATGAGAAGTAATGGAATTCACGCGGTTTGCCTTTACCTCTGTCCAGAGTATTAATTTGGATTTCGGAGCAAACGCTCCAGACTGCCATATCTCACCACTATTGGGCACGTCTATTCGTTGCACATTTAAGGCTTTATTTCTACGTACTGTGAATGTCTAAATGAATGAAAATCTTAAGAACGGCTGTAGAGATCTGTTGTGTTCTCGTTTTCTCTATCCACAATTGAAAACTTACCGACACCGAGTTCCTAGAAATAGCCAGAATAACGCCAATATCATATGGATTATTTACTAATTTGAATATCTTCTCCCCATTCGCGCTTAACACGTTAATAACATCATATTCTTTCGTGATCGTTTGCTTTGTTTCGTCAAATGACCATATTCGTAGTTTGCCATTGAATGTACAGGTCAGTAAGCGTATCTGGCGGGCGTCTTGAAGTTATAACATTTTGTTAACAAAACGAGTAAGAGAAGAATTAAATGTCGAGAATATATAATCATTACTGAAAGCGTGTTGAATATGTATGAGCAACCTATGTAGTAGAAATGGTTGCTTTTTGAATTCTAACCTGAGTCATAAAATGGTGTACATGCTGCCCAGTCATTGTGTCCTCCCCAAACTCGGACGACCTAACGAGAAAAATGTATGTTATTGTCGTAGGTATTGCGACTCATCCAATTAAAACTTCTCAGCCGATGCCTTACCTCTAAATTAGATACGTTCAATATTGCTATTTCATTCGAAAATCCGGAACATAAAATATACTTTGCAGGCTATAGATAGTGATGTAGACACGTTAACGGACGTGATACTATCCATTAGCTCTGAATTCTGGAAACTGTCTCAGTTATGTATTAATATTGCTACAATCCTTATTGTTTTCATTCACAATACCTGTGTATAATCAGCCAAACAATTCAACGCCATTGGAATACCATCCAATACACACGAGATGGACGCCAGACATCTCCCATCTATCAGAGACCATTTCATAATTTCTCTGATTTGATATGTGCAAAGCAAATGGATCAGTGATTATGTCTCATATTCAATTTGTCTACTGTCCAAAACGCTTTCCCACCTCATCTCTCATTTTATTTCTTAAACCCTAAAATGATTGTTATCCGCACATTACCGACCGCATCCCGTAAACGATATCTATCACATCCTAAACACGGGTTCCTCCACTCATCGTTCACGTCTACATTCGCATAACTTACCCATCTTCCGAAGCACTAATCACAACATACTTATTTCCAGCATTCCCATCAGTCTGATTTTCGATTATGGCTAATGTTGTTACCGGAGATGAATGGCCTATACAGAAAATTTTGTGACGCAGCTTACAGAGAGAAATACAAAAGGTTGGCGTATTGAGAATGTAGACGGGAGTGTTAGGGGGGAGCATGAAAGCGATAAGGCAATAGATAAAATATAATAAGCATTCTAAATGCTATGCTGCCATCTACCAAAAATTCCATCCTATCAGAAAATAACCAATCCTTCTTTTCTCACTAAAACAGTTTTCTCTGTTTGTTGTAAAAGCTTATTCGCTATAGATCCTATTGCTTAATACGAAACCTTGCTCATTCGTTCACTACTTGCTAATATCCCTTCTTCTAACTTCTGGTCCTTTGTCGACCCTTCAGATCAAAATCCTTACTTCAATGTTTCCCCTCTCGCCAATGCGCCATGTATATATCCATAGACATCCATTCTTCAAGCCAGTTACTATATGTGCCTCTTTATATGCAATACAAGTCACTGGTGAATATGGGGGGTGATCCCATCGTGCGATCGGGACGGCAAGAGAAGAAGAGGACATTACAGTTATGTAAAGGAGCGGAGGCGAACAGACTAGGCTGAATAGTGTGGTTTCTTTGTGTTTGCGGTTAGTTGATAGTTCAAATGTATCATACGAAGGTGAACAGAAAGTTTAGCTATTAAACATTAAATCGATTAGCGGACAGACATATTATAGACCATCTATTACTATTAAAAAAGTAGATGATAAGGGAGTTAAATTAATATTAATATCATGGGTCACGTTAATTGGATGTCATACAATATTCACGCCATCGCCCGGTAAAATTCTGTAACTGGAATTTTGGTGTTCGCCATTCTTTTAAAGAATAAACAGAGCAGGTCGCACTTTATTTTGGGTCGGTGATCTACGTGCATGTGAAAAAAAGCATAACTACAACCGTTATTGTCATTAAAACGACAGATTTTGGCATGATAAACAAACCTTGGCTTACTTCCTAATTGCCTTCTTACTTATGTGTCGAACACTTAATACGGTAATTGCTATCAGCAAACGCTTGCGCTTTTCATGATACAATATTGCTATAAATAGGCAGACCCTGTTGAGAAGACAATACGTGGGAAATTTTGACTGCAAGCTGCCAATTTAATTATCTTACAACATTGTAATTGTAAGCGAAAATGCGTTATCACGAAAAGCATAATTAAATAAATTCAGATTCATTTACAAAAATGAGAATCCTATATATAGCGGTTTTATCAAAAACAGAAGATTTGGAGCGACAGTCAATTACATACTTATGCTATGGATCAGTTTTCTGTTTGATTTTATGTTCGCTCATCTATGCTATTACTTTTGAATCGGCCTCTATGAGTAACTTCGAACTTTAAATATAAACCCATATCACATTCAATGTCGATACAATTCGCTTGAGAAACTTGCGCAAGCAATCAAAAGCAGGTTGAACTTTTTTTGGAGGCAACCCTGAAAATATTATCATGATTCTTTTCAGTCTTATCTAGAAATGGTAATTCCAGGGAAAAGCCAAATTACAAATGCATAGTAAAAACGGAGATTATATGTTCTTCTTAGTTGAAGCAGTCATGTTACCAAAACAAGAGACAAAGGAAGGCTTCTTGATGCTTTATCGGCGACGCGCTATAACCTGTCAGAGATTCGCAGACACGGAAATCATTCCTGACAATTAGGGAGCATTCTTAACAACAACACATGATTGACTTGAAAAATAAGACATATTGAAGAGCTCAAAAGCTATTAAGAGTGAACAGTTTTCTATCTAGACACTCTAACAAACTAATACTATATTCAATTCATTTGGGTCCTAAAAGTCAAAGATGAATGTCAGCATAAAATTCTCCATGAAGTCTACATGCTTCCATGCAAGTGTTATAACATACCCAACATGTCCTGAGGTCGAACCCACTGATCAAATTGTTCGCTTGTAAGAAATTTCAATTTGATGGCTGCCTCTTTAAGCTACAAACAAAATTAGTTGTCAACGTTAGTCGATCTTTCTAACAAATGTTATGCTGTGCTATTACTCACCGTCGTTTTCTCCTTATAAGCTGTCTTTGCTATTAGCGATGCCTTATCATAACCAATATGAGGATTCAATGCTGTCACAAGCATAAGACTTTGATTCATCAATAAGTCAATCTGTTGGTAATGGAAAGTATCACTTGTTAGGAAATGGATAAGCTCTTGAAGTATACGCCACAGGTGACTTAGTATGTATGTTATGGGAGTACACGGTTATCTTTAACGTATACTTCAGGATGCATTAAATATACAATAACTTGACTCACCCTCTCTTCATTGGGCTGGATGCCTGTAACGCATTTGTCGGTGAATGAAACGCATGCATCTCCAATGAGTCTTATCGATCGGAGGAGATTACTAATTAACACTGGTTTAAATACGTTCAACTATAATAAACAAATACGCATGCTATAAATAAACGATTTCATCCAAACAATGCAATATTCCCGACAGACACTCACTTCAAAATGCCCGTTGGATCCTGCAACGGAGATGGCAGTGTGATTGCCCATGATTTGAGCAGCAACCATGGTCACTGCCTCGCATTGGGTAGGATTAACCTTCCCAGGCATTATTGATGAACCCGGCTCATTGGCAGGCAATAGAATCTCACCAATACCACATCTAGGACCAGAGCCTAGGATGTCAGAGGCAAATTGCATGAATTAATGATGATAATAAAAGTCAGATATTGTTATAAATGATTATGTGTCAGTCGTACCGAGTAATCGTATGTCATTTGCTATCTTCATCAAAGACACAGCAACTGTGTTAAGAGCTCCACTGGTTTCAACTATAGCATCGTGTGCTGCTAGGGCTTCAAACTAAAAATTGAAGTAGTTAAAATTCCTGGCATTTAATGTTTCAATACTAGATTCGGACTATAATAATCGTTGCATCAAAGTCTAAATCCTATGTTACATTAAAATAACAAGAATATGAATATTTTACAATATTCTACTTGCACGTCACTTACTTTGTTTGGTGCGGTCTTAAATGGCAATCCAGTAAGCTTTGATATTTCATTTGCAACCTCAACATCAAATCCCTTGTATGTATTTATACCCTTTGAAATAACAACAACAGCCGATAAATATAGTATGTGATGTATATAACACTCGTTCTATATATGCCTGTGGTCTATGGCGAACATATCCTCTTACAGTTCCAACAGCAGTTCCTCCTTGAGCAAGGTTATACAGTCTAGGCAAGGCAGATTCTATTCTTTCTATTCCATAAGCCATTTGTTGTGCATATCCAGAGAACTCATTTCCAAGGGTCAGCGGGGTTGCATCCTGAGCATTAGCAAATAAGAGGTAACCGTCATTTCAATTTAATGCAGTAGATGTACTGCATTACATCGCCGTATTGTATAATATACTACGACACATAACGTCAGTACACATACTTGTAAATGGGTCCTTCCAATTTTTACAATGTCTTTGAATTCCTTTGCTTTTGAATCTAGGGCTTTCCTCAACTTGTCCATGGCTGGAAGTAATTTTTCATTTATTTCTAGTGCGGCGGAAATATGCATTGCTGTTGGGAAACTGGATTTGAAATAATCATCAAGAGAGCATTAATGGGAGGGTATAGGTATAATCATAATGTTAATATGTCGTATGAGCAAATAGTAAGAATAAGATTGAAAAATATAAATCGATGTCAGCATTTAAGCAAAAGAGTTTCCGAATGCACTCACGAATCATTCGACGATTGCGCCATGTTAACGTGATCATTAGGATGAACGGGATCTTTACTGCCAAGCGGGCTCCCAAGAAGTTCTAACGCGCGATTCGAAATCACCTTGGAAGATTACAGACATGGTAGATATATCTCAATATGGGAAAGTGATTATTGTTATTGATGTATGAGACAAATATACAACATCTCCTCATACCTCATTGACATTCATATTGGTCTGAGTACCAGACCCAGTCTGCCATACTACTAATGGAAAGTGATCCATCAGCTTTCCAGAGATAACCTAGAATTTGAATAAAACAAGGTTACACACACTATCCTTAGTGGCCGTCTACCGTGAAAAAGAAAGCCGAATTCTAACCTCATCAGCAGCGGCTATAATAGATTCTCCGATCTCTTTCTTTAGACCATTATCAAAATTCACAGTCGCAGCAGCCTTTTTGAGATATCCATAGGCCTTGATTAATGGTTCCGGCATTCTTTCGGTCGGGCCTCCGATGTCGAAATTCTGGAGAGACCTGATATAACAGAATTTGGGAGAAGTAAATGCTCCAAACGTGGTAATTGTGCTCGGCATTTTTTCTAGCGCGTGGTCTTTGCTAAACAAACTATTCATATAACTTACCTCTGTGTCTGCGCGCCCCAATAACGGTCAGCAGGGACATATATCTCACCAATAGCGTCTTTCTCCAGTCTCTTCTTTTGGTCCATTGAGTACTAATCCACAGATAGCAATTTCCACAGTATCAACAATAATAAAATAACACAATTCAATATCTTGTGCAAAGATACCCGATTTATTCAATTCCTCTCGTCCGTTATTACTTGTTCAATATTAATGATTATGAGAAAAAAAATGATGGTCCAAAAGTGGGGTCCCATATAAAATATTTTCCCACACACAAGATGCCCACTTACCCATAGTGTCGATGTTAGATGGAATGCCCTGTAACTGGACTTTGATAACTAATTCGTTGTGAATTTATATTGAGCACAAAAATCGATATGCGGGACGTTAATGCATACAACACGTGTACTATTTTTATGAACAGCATTATACTCTATGACTTACAGGCACTGATAACTGATTTGCTATGCGTAAAGAATTAAGCATTTCTATTACGGCGGGAGGGCGCAAAAAAATCGAGAATGTAACTATTTATATACTTTAAACCATCATTCATTGGTTGAAAATTGATTTAGGGGGTGTGTATTTATTCGGCAGGATCATTTGTTGATCATCACGCGTATAAATCATCTATTACATATTATATACAGAACCGAACCTTGATAAGCCGACTGTTTCCAGTGCTGTCTATACAATTCCTGTCTCTTGCATTTAGTGATAAATAATTGTACAGCCTTTCAACGTCTTCTTTGGGTTCAGTCAACATAGCATCTGTTTCGCATAATGTCTGTCCTTTGCCAGAACGTCGTTACGTCTTTGTATTTAAGCTAAGGAATTTGCCTGCTATTTATCAAGGAATGTTACCTAATTTACAATTTTCGAGACATTAGTTTACACGATTACATGACAGTGGCAAACACTTTTCTTAATTATGTAACAATGCCATCAATTGATTATTACTTTATTGACTATTTTCTGATAAACCGCTTGGGAAGTGAGCAGTAGCGGCATTGCGAGAGAAAATGTAGTTTATTTTTTCCTTCTTTTCCATTTGTAGATCAATATTTTGATGCGCGCTTATGAATGAAAAGTCTTCAAAAGACCGGGAGATTTGGCGCGTTTGAATGTTGATATACGCTGTACAATTATTAAAATTAAGACAGCGTAT